TCGGACACATTAGAAAAACACGAGTTGTGAAATGCACATGAACACCTGCTCAAGTCGGAACAACAACTCGGAAATTCGAAATAAAATTAGGTGCCTGACTTCCCGACTTCCCAGAATCGTCATCAAATGGGGGGCAAAATAAGTTTCGTTAATGTTTACATACTTTTATTAATCGTGTATTGCACATTTGTCATTTGTCATTTATTTCAAGGATAGCCCCTTGAGATGCATCATCTCATTTTCAAGGGGGTCCTTACGAAACATAAATGAATCGTCATAATACAAAATCAAAATAAAAGGTAAATCCAAAACATAATACCAAACATTTAAACACAGAAACACCCACACCACAAACACACACACACACACACTCACAATCACTCACACTTAATGCTCCCCCAAGCCTAGCCACCCACCAACCAGCCAGTATTACACAATCAGAAAAAATCTGAAGAGAGAAAAAAATTAAAAAGAAAGAAAGAAAGGAAAACCTCTGCAATAACATACATGTAAAGGTAGAGGTAGAGCTGTGTACACCCATGCACACATATGCACCATATAAATGCATATACATGTACATATATACATGCATACACACTATACAGTACATACACACATAGTGTACGCAACATTAAGGCTTAAGGTACAGAACAGTACATACATAGCGCAAGCAAGAGGAGAGCAAGTCCATACAAACTAAGTCCAACAGAGAAAGAAAATCAAAAGCAAGAGCAGGATGTTTGACAATGAGTAAGTAGAGATGATTGAAAGATATGAAAAGAGGTGATCAATCTAAGTGAGCGAGGTAGGTTATTCCAATCTGATGGAGCTTTAAATTTAAATACACGGCGACCAATTTCTTTCCTGATTCAACTTTTTGCTCAAATATAACATTTAACAGTTACAGTTCAATGATCGACTTCGTAGCATGAATGGTTTTTTGTGCTATTGTTACAACATTCCGACTTTCCGAACTGAACACACTGAAGTAGGATAAAAGACTTCCCAACTCGGAAACTTGGACCACCCGAGCAGCACATGGATGCAGCAATAGACCATCGAAGAGCAGCTCGCCATTAAAAAAAGCCAATCAAAGAGAAGCTCACTGAAAACACAATCATGGTGCATTCATGTGGTGTTGGACACATCGGAAAAACGAGTTTCCGAGTTGTAAAATGCACATGAACACCTGCTCAATTCGGAACAACTCGGGAAAGAATCGTCACCAAAATATGTTTTGTTAATATTAACATACTTTTTATTAATTCATGAATTGAGAGTAGACGTATTTAGAATTACCTCTTAAAGGGACACTTCACCCTTTGAAACATGAATCTGTATAATGATGATTGGTTACAGTCTTGAAGCCAATTTAAGATGTCTTGCCTGCTTTAACAAACTGTTTGTCTACGTACATGTGTAGGAGAATGATGTGAAGAAAACAAGGTATCAACATGGTGAGGGCTAGATCTACAACCACGCTTTAGACAAACAGACAAAGTTTATTTCAGTTTAGGAGTTTAACTTATTGAAGTACCTGGATGGTAGGAAATCGGCGGATGGTATGTTATGTGATGTCAGAGGTCAACCAGAAGAATGTCCAAAAGTAACTAGATAAAAGGGGGCACATCACCATCTACCTTTGGGGCGTCAGACATACTCCCGTCAATAAATCATTTCTCCCTTGTTGTTTGTATACTCGGAAAAGGACAGTAGTCAAATTAAATGGCCCAATTAAGCAATAACTGCACCTGGACTTGACTGTGCATGTAAACATACTGACAGGTTCTTATCAAATAACAAGATCATTTCTTAGGAGACTTGCATACCATTTCGAACTTGGAAGTTCACAGATGGCAATCACACTGAACAATATGCAGAAAACAAACTTAATGGAACTAAACAGAGAGCTGGAAGGATTCTTCTTTTGCAAATCTATGTGGTGATTAGAAAAGGCAGAGCAGGAGAGTTATCAGTTCCAGCTCATTCACACAGAGGCACTGCGGCATTCCACTTTACTCTCACACTTCCCTTTCTTTTCCCTCTTTTGCTGGGTCCTGCCTCATCACCTCTCTTTCTCTCTCCTCACTCCTCTGGCATTCTCATGTCTCCCAACCCCCACCCCATTGCTGCATCCTCTCCCCCTCTCTGCCGCTCTTCCCCTCCTCCCCACATGTCTGTCTGTTCAAAACTAGAGCAACGTCTTAATCGAGGCTCGGAGACGTGACAGGAATTTCTAATCAACCCTGTCTCTGCAGTACAGACACAACACGCACAGAGCTACACTAACACACATGCACACACACACACACACACACACACACAAACACATTCTGCTTGGCAGCCAATTAACAGCCTGCAATCTCGCACCAAAGGAATAACTGCATGTTGATGAGCTGGCGGTTCTACATGTTTATGTCTGTGTGTGTGTGTGTGTGTGTGTGTGTGTGTGTGTGTGTGTGCGTGTGTGTGTGCGTGTGTGTGTGTGTGTGCGTGTGTGTGTGTGTGCGTGTGTGTGTGTGTGCGTGTGTGCGCGCGTGTGTGTGCGTGTGTGTGCGTGTGCGTGTGTGTGTGCGTGTGTGTGCGTGTGTGTGTGCGCGCGTGTGTGTGTGTGGTGGCCGTCAGACCCACTTAGACAGATAGCAGGATATCTCTTTTATTTGTTCAGGGGGGAAAGAGGGATTATGGTGCATTAAAAACCATGACCAGAACTAGGAAGTATGTGCAAGTGATTCTGTGTGTGTGTGTGTGTGTGTGTGTGTGTGTGTGTGTGTGTGTGTGTGTGTGTGTGTGTGTGTGTGTGTGTGTGTCTGATGCTGTCCCATCAGCTTTCTAAAAAATATGTTTGTGCATATAAGCAGCATTAGGAGAACAATGTGGATGATTTACATGGGGCTGAGCCTTGCTTTCTCCTCCTCCTCCTCATCCTTTCATTTTTTTTGTTACCTTTCCTTTACCAGCTCCTCTTCTTTTCTGTTCTGCCTTCACTTACAGGAGTTCATACAAAGGTTACAAAGGTGAAAATCTGACAAAAAATACTCCCCCCCCCAGAAAAAACAACAACTCATAAGTTCTCTTTATATGTCAAAAATATTGACACCAGACTTGACAAAATATCCCTGAGGAGCAAAGTGTGTGCTTCCCAGACAAGGTTTCATCATCAGTCCTTGTTTTTGCTCTCTTTTTAAAGTGATAGAATACGTTGGGGGGGAAAAGACTGTGGGTTTATACCATTCTTACTTTCCTTCACACAGGTATCAGTTTGTCCGTCTTTCCTCTACACTTTTTGGATAATTATAATTAAATAAAAATAATTAAATACTGGAAGATGAAAGGTGAAAACCACATATAACAAGTAAATCAAATAATAAGTTCTAATAATTACTCATAATTATGGGCCAATAATGAAATAATTCATTGAGAATATAACTTAACTGCAAAGTTCTTGTTTTATTCATATTTATCATAAAACATAAATTCACTTAATTCACTTACCTATAGTCGTTCATAAATGAAGTCATTTGAAAGCTGAATGACACTAGTTCTTGAATAGTGAGAAAGGAGGGAATTGTTGGGGTTTGGGGGACAAGTTCACCAGTATTATTTTTTTGAAAGGAAAGGCTTCCATCTAGTGGGGGCATGTTTGAATGACGGGGAATTATCAGAAGAGATTGAAGAATACAAAATGTTTTCACACCACCTCGTGCTTTGATGTCAAAAAGCTCTACATTAAAACTGGCAAACTTCAAACAAAAAAGACACCAATGAAAAAAGACATTGATCAATTAAAACAAATACTTTACTGTTTTTTTATTTACCCAAATTAACTTATTTCTGTTAAAATAATTCACAAAACTAGACCAGCTTTGTTATTTAATTTTATAAATAAGGGCCCTCTTTGACACTTAAAACCAACTCAAATATGTAGGACGAATAAATAGCCTACTCAAACATAAAAATACACAAAACTGTTGCTAGACGAGGTCCAAGAGAATATTTTCCCAAGGGGACAATAAAATGTGTCTTGTCTTATCTCATCTGATCTTACAAAGAGTGCTGACACGTATGTGTATTAGCAGCTCACAATTATCTTCTTTAAAATATATAAAGTATCATCTAACAGAAACGTTTTAGAAGCTACTCTTGAGAGCAACAGAATCATTTCAAATAATATTTTTTACTTTTGAATTGAATCAGACTATTTCTTATCCGGGGATATAGGTTTGAGTGACATCTAGTGTTGACCTCTTTCAAATTCAGCAGCATTTCGGGTGTTCCTGAAAACAAAGGAGGACCCAGTGATGTCACAGCTCAACCCAGTGGTGAGTTTTGGTAATGGATATGAAAAATAGGAAAAAGTGTATGCACAGAGAATTATTTCTGTTGCCTCTGATTAAGATATTTGTGTTAATTTTGTAATTGTTTTGTATTAAGTTTTGATATTTAAAAAAAAAGGGACGTTTAGGGAAGTTTATACAATAGAGAGAAGAGAAGAGAAGTAAAGAAAATAGAACAGAGGAGTGCTGATAAGAAACAATTAGTTTCTTATCAGTCTTCTCTTTGTGTTTGTTTTTCTTCACCAGCGTTCATTCTCCATGGAGGGCATTCATCTCATTTCCACGTCCTTGCTTCAGCATGCAAATAAAGATGGTTCTAATAATTTGTAATTTGCCTTGTTAATGGTCACAAAAAACAAATAAACCCTCACATGATTTGCCTTAAAAAGTAGTTAATTAAACACACGTGTGCATACTATAGCATTCCTTTAAAGGCCAATGCCTCTTTTAAAACAACTATTTAAAATGTATTGCTTACCTGCAAGACTGGTTGCTTTCGAGCTGCATAATGGTTTTACTTTAATTTGTCTCTTTACTGTGGAACATTGTTGAAATCCTTGAATTTAGCCTGACTTTGCTGTTAATGTGTTCATGTCCAATAACACTCTCATCCCTCCCACTTTAAAGATAAAATCTTTTAATAAACATTTGTTATTTGTACATTTCCACTCCGCCATGTCAAAATAAAGTGATTTAAAGTCCACAGCATATAACAGGAAAATCTATTTTTGTGGAGATGTGGCGTTACTGCCAGAGAAAAAAAAATGAAGATGTGTAAAATGTAAGACTCCTATCTTTACCCTGCAACATGTTTCACATTTAAAAATGGGGAGTTGACTGTCAGTGTTTCAAAATCAGATGATTCTATTACTGTAACAAGTAACAACTTATAAGTTGGAAAGTTGTTGAACATGAATAATGATCTTAATATGAACTGCTTAGTATGGCTCTTTTAAGGTAGAAGTTAGCAAAAGCATATTAAGATCATAAATAATGTACAACTTCCTAACTTACTCTCAATAAGCAGTAATTTGGAGGGTATTGAGGGCAAACTCTTTGTTAATGACCTCTTAGCTACATACTATGGTCATATAGAATAAGGTACTACTAAGTACTTAATAATGACTTATAAGCAGCCAGGAAGCTACCAATAAGCATGCTAATAAGCAAATAATTAATGGTGATTATTGTGACCTTAATTTTTATTGTTACCGTAATTACTTTATACTTTGCACTTTTCTTTCCTTAATGAATACCACTGTAAAAATGATTGGTGATACGTGTGGCTGAAATAATTGTTATTTCATTTCCTCAGGATCAGCTGCAATGAAAATTGAACCGTTAATGTAGGATTATATTTGAAAATGTATCTTAGCTAAAGCTGGAGACATGAATAAAACAAAAGAATGCACTAATAAACAAATTTCCATAATATCCTCATAGTGTTAAGTAAAACTTTTGGTTAAAGGGTACAGATACAACAACCTATACAGTTTAGTGCCTCCAAAATACCCTTCGAGGTAGATCAGTCTTCTCCTCAAGGATGTGTAACTCTTAGGAAGGCAGTTATATTCTATCTGACCTTCATGGGTGCTGCCTTCTTGACGTGAACAGTCAGTCAAGTGTGTACACTTTACCCTAGAGCGTGTGGGCTATACTGCATCCTGTACTGGATTGTTCCTATTTGGCAGGCAAATGAGCCTCAGCAGTGACTGGGCAGATTCTGCAGTCGCTTCCACAGTGTCAGCATCTCATTTGGACTTCGTCTATGAACGAGCAGAACAGATTTGTAAGAACACGGATTGTGCTTGTCTGTGTCTCGGAGATCAAATGTTAAAAAACCTGGGTGATGGCTTGGCGAGAGCCCCAGTCTGTGCAGGCACATACCCAGAAAAACATCGTCGATTGGAAAAAGGCGCACTTTTTCAGATACCTTTCGCAATCGTAATGCAAGAGAGCCAGAATACACCACCCCTCCTCCACCAGCATAAGGCGGGTAAACACCTTTGTAGAAACTTCCTGGTATATAGTATTTAGTGGATGGCTCACGATTTGGCATTGCATTATTTATAACATCACCCACAAACAAATTCATGTCTGTTTCATTAGTGTAGGCTCTCCACAGGATATGCTCATCCCACTGCTTGTGCAAGTAATCCAGAAGAGCACCTGTTCGAACAAAGACATCATCATCCCCTTTAAACACAAAGACGGCAGTAGGGCAGTATTGCTGGAGCCAATGCCAGAACAGCAGGTCCTTTAAAGTCAAGTTAAAGAAAGTGTCTCTGAAATCCCACTGTAGGATATCCTCATATTTTTGGTTCTCAAGCTCCAGGAGGTTTTTAAGGTCCGGATGTGGACCTGTACTGGAGTCCTGCCTTCCAAGCAGAAACACAGTGCGTACTAATCCACCTTTCTTATTCGATTCCCCTTTCACCAGACCACTGCGTCCCCATGTTTCACGGATAGCCTGCCTATTTTCAAAGTTCCCCACTTGGGATTTGATGGCCATGAGGAGCATAGGTGAGCTACTACTGTTCCCCTGACACACACCAGGCTGGTTGATCAGGAGGGGATACTCCCTACAGTGCATTGACCTGATAAATGCTCTCACTTGCGCTGGAAAGCTGTCTAAACCTTGAATACGAGGGATTGAACATTGTGACATGCAGTCAGAAATACATTCATCTTCAATTTCTGACAAGAGTTTAGTCTTTGGATTTGTCATTATCCCATTTGTGTTTCCTCGCAAGATTGGATTATGCTGCCGGTCCCATGCATGCTGCAACTGGTTCCACAGTGCACTGTCTTCCAGACGAAGGTTCCAGAAAGGGCCAAGTGGGTGAGAGGCCAGTTCAGAGGAGTTTATGGAAACCCCCGGGGCAATGTAGTGAACGGTTATTTTTGGTGGAGTGTAGGAGATGGTGACAAATATAGTCACCATAATATAAACAAGAAGGTGGCCGGTCATCATGCAAGGTAGCAGGCACATGCACAGCAGTCTGCTGTTGCATTTGCAGCATTTGCCCATATCCCCTAGTGTACAATTCAGACACACACCTGCAGACACATAAAGATAACATGTAAGAAGATGCATTTGTTTGATAATTATGACAAGGAAAACATTTACATTTATCCTCCTTACTCACTGACTCAGTGGCATGGGTTTTATGAAAAAGATTTTCAAAGCTAACACTGCAGGCTACCCTTTGGGGTTTTGGTCTCCTTGGTGATGGCCCAGTGAGGGCTATTACCTGTTTTTGTCTACACAATTAGAGCATCATCCAGCACCACCAGTAAGCTTGCAGCCCCTGTAGACACAGTGTGGAACACAGAACAGATTTTATTAAGTCACTCTTCCTTTAAATATTAAAAGTTGGGTTAACACATCGACATTATTTTCTCCTATATAGGCTCTAAGAGGATTTGATTATATGGTTTTCCCCGCGGATCTCTGTTTTTTAAACGATCTATTTCTACTAAATGAAAGACACAATTCTTTCGATTAGGCAATAAGCATTAAGACTGCATTTTGACTGTATGTTCAGCCTAGTCAGCATAAACGTTTTTTTTTTATTATGTGATGTAGGCTGGTCTAAGGACAGAGTACCGGATCCCCCAAACCCCTGTCAAGTGACTAAAAGTAAAAGCAAAAAATATACTTACACGCGTGTGTTCCTATTTGGATAAGCCAGCTGAGAAAAAAGACACAGACTTGGGATATCCAACTTTTGTTTTAGTGTTTTCATCCGGCTTGTATAGGCTGGTTACAACGTGGTCAGTCTGAAGAGCATCATTTAAGTCCATTTCGATGAAAGGCAACGAGAAGAATCCCGTCTAAAGAAGCCTTCCTATAGCAAAGCAGTAGTCGCAGCTGAGCGACAGGTCTCAAGTGGCTGCACAGAGCATGCGCCTCCACACTGCAACGTATAATGAAGAAAATACCCGTGAGTCCACGTACTTTTGATGGATTGAGGACTACCTTCATCGAGCTATTTGTCAACAGAAAAGGCCTGGATTTGCATGCATTGCTGCGGTTGCATTTGCATGAAAGAGGCCAAATGTTAGTTGATCTTGACTTCAGCAGCTTGGGCATTTATTTCTCTCACGGTGGTTATTCTCTGTGATATCATCTTCTTTTCGATCACGTAACATCAAGTTGACTAATCTTGACTGCCCATATATGGGCTTACGTCACAGCTCATCAATATGCTACAATATTCTGATTTGATAACGAAAGAAAACAAGTACAAAGCCCTAGATAAATAAAATGAGCATTCTTGGAATATTTGTGTGGATGATTGTGGTATGATTAAATCAAACACTTCCAAGGGATATAATCCCTTTATTTAAGTTTGGTATCCACTGCGAAAATAGCCTATAGGTATAAAATAATAACTTTAAGATTGAAGTCTGTGGAGTTTAATTTTTAACATTTTTACTGTATAGTTTCTGTTCGTCATAGTCTTAAATTATTACATAGCGTAGGCCTACTTGGCTACATTATAGGCCTATCCGTTTGATATGCATTAAATTCGGGGTTTTCAGCTGTTATGATACTTGTGCATTATATCCTGTACATCATGTTTCGGTGCAGGTAATAAGAAGGAAAGCATTGTAAAACATAGGGGCTGAAAGTGTATTGTTTTGTCCTCTATTCAATTGAAATAACGAGCACCATAATAATGCATTTCTAAAAGGACAATCAAGGTATCCACTTAAAAACATCAACGACATACCTTCGTCCGTAATGACGGACATGAATATAAGCCAATAGAACAAACGCCTGGCAACAGGTTATCGGCTGAATGTCGGAATTCAGCCAATAGGACCACGGAGGAGGCGGGACATGGTGACATCATCGGGCCGTTTCTGTTTTGCATGCAGCGATACAAGTTAGGTTGAGCTTTGCATGAGGGGGCCATCATCCCGGCGGCTCGAAGGTGGAAAATGCAGTTATGTCTCTGTGGCTACATTTTCAATGAGCAAGCAGGCTTTTTTGACAGGTACATAAGTGACTATTCAACGTGGTTTCGTCTCCTTGTGGGGTAAGTGTGTTTTAAAATGTGAAATGTTTGATTTGTAAGGCACAGCTCATGCAGCAGACCTGTTTATTTGTCTGTGACACAAAGTAGCAAGCCTGCTAGCGGATTTTTTCGAACTCTTTTTTTTTTTTTTTTTATGCAAGAAGGAGGCAAGGGGGCTGGTTGGCTGGCTGGCAGTCATTTCGAGACAAAAGACAACCAAAGCATGTTGCACAGTGTTTGTATGCAACTGCCAATGACAACTAGGAGCATTGGGAAATGTATTTGCTGCCTTTGCCTTTTATGAAAGTCTGAGTCCACCGGTGTTTGTAGCGTAGCCTGTTCTCCTAAACGATGTGTGTGTCGTTGTGTGTTTGAAGATGAATAACCCAAACGCACTGAAAAGACACACCGATGCCCTCATGCCCTGATGCCCATGTTCAGATAGATACATTGTAGCCACCTCAGCACTTTGTGTGCTTCTTGTTCCATTCAGAAGACTTTCGGTCTCTCATAACCTTATGACAGTAGTCTCTGACATGTCTTAATACTAGGTCTACCCATCACTTGTTTTTTAGTTTGACATTATCTTTCCCCCTTTGTGTATCAATCTTTAGCATTAGCAAAATCCCAACCCTAAATTTAGATTAGGCCTATTGTTTATATTTCCGAATAGTCGCCAACCAATGGCTTTAATCTCGGTTGGCCTGTTCATCAACCAGAGTATTTAGGCTACAAATACTGTATTTTACAGTCTCTTTCTCTAGTGTTAAAAATGTTCCCTGGGCGAGTAGCCCATTAGTGTGTTGGTCACGATTAACAGCATGCTTAAATCTTGAGACATTATCAATCAACTGCAGGTACTGAGATAAAGACCCTTTTTAATTATTTTCAGAGATGGTCTACCTTGGTCTGAAAACCATAGGAGGCTACTTTTGCTCTACAAGTAAGCAGTCCAGTGGCAAATTCATTCTTAGAAGGAGCTTTTAGTTATTTCTTCCTCCCTGAAAGATGAGTGGAGAACTCTGCATTATTTCACTAATGCAGCAGAGCAGAACAAAAGAAGAATGTTTACATTTTTTTTTTTTTTAATTGGTTTTTAATTCCATTGGCTTTTTCTCTGTTGGTGCTTTCTAGATTTACCTTTTCTGGGCAGGTTTGTTTGCACTCTAGGCTGGAAAACAGGTATTGGCAAAATGAAAAAGAACTGTAATATCAGATACGGTTACGTTTGAAGGTCAGAACTTATGTCAAGGCCTCCAGCTGTTTCGTCTGTCCAAAATATCTGTAATGTATGAAATTAGAAAAATATATTGCTCACCTGCGAGAGAGGTTGATAAAATAAATTGGTGTAAGGATATTTGAAACCATATAAAGGTTTGCAGTTGGGGTTAATGGTTCAGTTTTGTACTTCACCCATTTCCGAGAAAGGTTTAACATAGTCTGACAAAACTTAGCTTTCATATAGGGTGGCAACTTAGGATAGGTTCACTGTTGGTTAGTAGGGATGTAAATAGTGACATATGTTTGACCTCAGTCAAAAAGTAAAATCTATTCTAAGTTAACAAAGATGTTTGAACATTACTTTAGATAGTAAGATGTCTTAATGGGTTTTTCTAAAACGTGATCAAAGAAGTTAAATACAACTAAACGAGACCACCCACATCCTCTGGAATTAGATATGATAATTAAAAAGATTTTACTGGGGAACTTTCTCTTTGTTTTGAGCTTCACCTCTGTGTATTGCAAAGTTGAATTGATCACTTATTGTGGAGATTTTTTTTCTGTAAATCGTCTTGTTTGCCACTTACTCATTGCAGCGGTTACAGGCATCACTGCATGAGTAACGTTGATTTTTAGGCTAGGTACCCGACCTTTGACTAGGAATGGGCAATTAATAGAGTTTCAATTTCAATTACATTTTTGGCTTCCCAGGATCAAGAAAATAAGATAATCGAGATTGTTGCGTTCATTTTGTCCACGGGTTTTTTCATCAATGTTGTTTCAAAGTGTTTGTTGTATTTTGGCCACAACAGTACATCCCCACTACCTCATACAAACATGTTTTAAAAATATTTTTATTATAGATTATTACTTTTTGTATTTTTTTACATATCTATATTTATTTCTGTAGATAGAGTGTTTAATTTCTATAGATGCAGATGTTGTAAAATCAATGAATAATCGTGTTTAATAATCTTGATCTTTATTATCAACCAAAATAATCGTTATTAGGATTTTGCCATAATCGAGCGGCCCTACCTATGAGCCAATCATTTTGTTGTGCATGATGAAAAACAGGTTGATGGTATATTACAGTGTTACTTCCCGCTACCACTACAAACTATTTTTTAAATAAGGATAACTCTGCTCTCTAAAGCTGCACAACACACAGGCCTTAAAACTGTAAAATACCAACAATGGCTCCTAAATTTGACAAAACAGATGAACGCATAATATCTACCTTTGCCTATGTAAGCATAACATACCCAATGTAATTAAGATACCTAAAAATAAAGAGAGTATACTTGATATCTACGACAGCCATGACACTGCAGAAACTGTTAATCTGGATGACTGGGCATGCTTTAAGGCATAATTTTAGTAGGAAATGTTATACAATGAGTTCTCCATCACACTTTTCATCTTGTTTATTGACATACTATTTTGGTTTACAACTGCTCATGTTTGTTTTCTCTTTTCTATCCTCTGTTTCTTAGGTTTTTTATGTAAATCTCCAGAATAACTTCCAACAGCAATCGTCACCTGTTCCTCCCTCCTTACCCTGTCCCTTTTCGCTACGTCACCCTAAAAGGGTCCTCAAAACACAGATAGGACACGCATTCAAGCGCGGGCCACCATGTCCTCCATCCTTCCCTTCACCCCCCTGTAGTGAAACGCCTCCTGGGCTGGAAAAAGACTCCAGCAGGGAGTGGAGGAGCAGGAGGAGGAATTGGAGGAGGAGAACAGAATGGAGGAGGACAGGAGGAGAAATGGTGCGAAAAAGCTGTGAAGAGCTTGGTGAAGAAGCTGAAGAAGACAGGGCAGCTGGATGAGCTAGAGAAAGCCATCAGCACACAGAACAGCAACACAAAGTGTGTCACCATACCTAGGTGAGATCACTTGCACTTTTCTGTATTTCCATGTCTTTCTGATCTTCTACATTCTTAATTGCAAATACAAGAACACAGTGTGTCTCACAATATTACGGTAATACAGACACCCCTTCCGCTCAAATATATGGGTCTTGTACATCAGCAGCAGCAGATAGCATGTTTTAAGTTTGTCATCAGACAAGGTTGACAGATGTAGTTATTCAGATTTCTAATCTGAAGACAATTTTATCACTAAACTCCTAAATGGTTCATTTAAAATTGCCCTGCCGAGCTCAAAACCCCAAGTTATGGTCACACCCACAGAATGGAGGATGTGCGTTTTCAAGGAAAATTACTATTCAAAAGACACTGGCAATAATTCCAGTTAAATAAAATGCCGATGGGGCGGGGGGCTAGGTGGAATTTCTTTTAGATGGATGGGGATGTACTTCTTGGTTTGTTAGCTTGATGCTATCACGTAATGGAAGTTGCCATTAAAGGGCTAACAGATTTAGCATCGCGATGCAGTTATTACAATTTAAGAAACAATCAATTTCATTGATAAATATTGAGTAAAATAGATTATTTGAGACGCTAAGTTAGTTTTGTAGCATTATGTTCAGTTTGTAATGCTACAGTTGTGTAATGCTTTCTTCTTCTTTTGTTACTTAATGACTATAAGCAAACAGCTTTTAGATGCATTACAACCACCACCTGGCGGTATGACAACATTACAACAAGGAGCCAGTAAAATAATGCGGGGGATTAAAGATGAGCTAAAATTTGCATGTACTCTGACTTAATAAAAATGAAATGACTATTTGAATATTTTAACATAATGACCCATCCCTAATTCACAGTCCCTTTGCACTGGTACACCATAATACTACAATGCACTGGAACAAGGTGTGTCAAAGCACATGAAAGTAAGGAGGGTATGAAGCACACACTAGCTTGCAGAAAGAAAAGTCTTTGTTGTGAAACAACAGGTTCACTTCCTTAATGTGTCGTTACATAGGTTAAGGCAGAAGTGAAACCTGATAAGAGGAAACAGATGTCAAACATATGATGTTTCACCCTTAATTTGAGCTGCTTCAGATTTTTTTTTTTTTCCAAGCTAAATTTATCCATGCATTCCCATTATATACAATAGCGTTAAAAGATTGCTCTCCTTTCATCGGTTGCTGGATGTAGCCCTGACTATATACACATACATTGATCCTGGTTTCAACATTGCCTTTGATCTGAAAACAAAAATGAAACGGTTGACAAGGTTGCTAGAAGGAACAGCTATTTAAACTAAAATAAAAACTTGTGAAATAAAATAAAATAAATCTAGGTCTTGACTTATTAAGTCCAACAGGTGATGAAAAAATAAGAACATGAACCAAAAAGTTTTAGGTGTAGAATTCACAAATTCTCATCAATAGTTGTTTCTTTTGCAATTTTGTTTGGATTCCATGTTTTTTAATCAAAATATTATCACCCTTTTTTCAAGGTTAACGTAGAGTGGAGTATATACAAGTTGCATACATAACTTACATAACTGTTTAATGTGTATTTTGTATGACCTTACTTGTCTGTGCTGCTGCAACTCCCGAATTTCCCCTCTGGGGATCAATAAAGTATTATCCTATCCTAACTTATCTTGCATAACTGATACGATAAAAGCATGAGTCTTTTTGAATCAGTACTGAGCATTGCCCAATCTACCTTATAAGTTACTTGGTGACCCATATGAAAGGACATACTCGACATCAATACACTCTCTGAAAACAGAATACTTCGCTAGAACTACAGTGCCAAAAAAAATGTAAAATGACTTTGAAAATTGACAACTGAAAATTCTGAAAGGAGCACCCCCAAAGTCTGAAGAGTTACAGGTAATTTGTCTTCCAGTATAGATTTCTCCTGTGTCATATGACTACACACACCAAGTAACCAGATCAGGTGAAACCTTATCGTGAAAAGGATAGCGTCAGGGGATCTCCATAAGAAGCATGTGATTAACGTCAATCTACCGAGTAGGATCAGAAGAGAATATATCTAAGCTGATGTTTGAAGATATTACAAGCTTCCCTTCTCTACTTTTTAAGAAATTATTTCCTTTTCTAGTTTTGGTAATGTGCTTAAATATAAATTTAAAACATCAATTTTTTTCCCTTCCATACCAATACTGGCTACAGATCAGATCAGCTGGGGGCTGGAGCTAATTGTTTTTTTTTTTGATCTCTGCTAATTAATAATTCATGTGCTCTGAAAAAGGAATAAAGAAAATCAGTCTTCTGTAGCAGTTGTAAGCATGTAAAAACTTTGACCAATGTCTGCCACGAGGTACCAATCTGAAGAACCAATCAGGCCTCCCTGCTCGTTCTCTACCCCTTGCATGCACAAGCCCACACTCAAAGTACATCACCAATGACGGAGTTTGTACTGTGAGTTTGTTGTTGGCCTGTGTAGTAAAATAGTCACTTTTTATTTTATTTTTACATGTGTTATGATAAAATTTAGTTTATTTTCTCAGAATGAGACATGAAACGTCGTAGTTTCTACACAATGCAAGCGATGAGCTGAGGTCAGCTTCTGATGCAAACAGCGCTTGTGCATGTAAGTGAGGGGCGTGGCTTCTGAGGGAGAACAGAGGGGAGTGTAGGGTGTAGACGGAGGAATGAGGGAAAGCTACTTTCAAAATCATAAAATCAAAATCATGATAGTTTTTGAAAATTACCAACCCTTGGTGTTACAATAACAGGTATGATAAATATATAGTGTATATTATATCATGTATTGTATGATGAAAAGTTTGTTGGAAGCTGGTGTGATTGTTTAGGCTATAGTAAGAAGTGAGAGACATGGCATACTTTAAATGTTACAAATGGTTAAAAAGAAAGTGAGGGTGAAAAGTTCAGAATAAGAACCATGTGTGAAGTGTGTGAAACCATGTCCTCTCTCTGTGTCTTTCCCCTGAGGAATGTTGACTAGATAATAGCTTCTGAAGTAGAACTGATAAGTTGATGCTGGCTGAACATTTGCTTGAATACCGCATTTCTTTTTCATAATAAGATAAATACTTATAACAGGAAAGACATCCTACTATGCTCACTAGATAGTGAACATTGGATTTAAATTAGTTAAAAAAGAAATAGTGAGGAAAGATCTTTTGGGAGGCTACCCAGCCATCAAATCAAATCAATCAAAGTTTTTTAGTGTGTAAATGGTTATGGAGATTGTCAGGTGTAGAGCCATGTCGAATTGGAGATTATTTTTAAAGCCGTTTTCACATCTGCACTCCAGATAATATCTAGATAATTACAGGAGGACTTCTCCGGAGATTCTCCCGACCTAGCCGTTCACATATGCTCCTCACAGCGGGGGACTTTCCCTGTCAGAGGGGAGGGGGGGTCGGGGGATTTCCTGAGGTAAGACGTGACATAAATAAACAACGTGGAAGTAGCGGCCGTAGCAACAGAGTCAGCTACACAACGTTATAATGAGAATATTTGCCTTTATATCAATGCTATGTGTAATCCAATGGAATGACAACATCCACAAAAGAGCGGAGAACAACATACTGACGAACAGAAAATAGAATGCAGCCGTTTAATTACATGCACGGAGATCGTAGTGTTTGCGATCAGACAACTCTTAACACCATGTAGCAGACACAGAATATAAACATCATTCTCTTTCTATTGGCTTGAGGTGAATTCTCTGGTGTATATGCTTCTGCATTCAGACATCAGCTCACTCTGACTTTCAGCAGAAAAAATACTAGGGGTCTGGCAGGAGAAACTCCGGGTAAAGTCTGTGCGAAAAATGCTGCTGTTTGCGTTCACACACAGCCTAAAGCCCCTCCTGGTAGCCAAATCTCTGGAGTTTTTCAGGAGATTTCTGTATGTGTGAAAAGGGTTTAAGTTTAGGTTTAAATTCAAGTGCTAGAACTTGACTGTCTCTAGAGACAACCCTAGTTGCATGAACAGTCTTTTGATAATTGAGGATGACCTCCTAAAGGTTCTAAAACAGCTTACAAAGGCTCTGGGTCAAATAACTCTAGGATATTCAGATAATCCAGTTTAACTGATTGAATTGCAATGGGAACCTACAAGTATAGCTTTTTAGCTTTGTTCCAGGTTGAGTCTTGCTCAGAATGAGAGCTTTTCACTGACATCTGGGAGAGTGCTGGTGACCTTTTAAACTGAGAAAGGAAGAAGATAAGGAATTAGCTGTATCTGGAGATGATCGAAACCAGGCTTAGGATTTTAGAACTCTTTCAGAAGGTTGATATGTCTGAGATTGAAGATGTCTTACAGACAGGTCTGTCAATGTCCTTCCTCTGATAATTTTCAAAACAAAGTAATAAGACAAAATAATTTCCTCTTCTCACTGTGAGAGAGAGAAGACTCCACAACTAATTTCAAGAGCTTCAGGGAACAACCAGACAATAAAATAAAACAAACATAAAGTGTGTGTACAAACTTTATGTTTGTTTTTTAAGTTGTGTCTTGAGACATTTTGTGCTGTCTGTTGGATCCCCATTCAAATATATTTGTACATGTATATTTTTCTTTTATGACCTGTTGCTTCACCTCATACTTCTCGTACCATATGACTAAAATTAAAAAAATAGGCATCATGTCTAAGGTATATGTTGTTCAGCCATCTTTCCTTTGCACCACCTGTGCATCTCTCCATGTGAAATGCAGATTTGTCTCATGTTCATGTATCATTCACTTTGTGCTCCTTATTTCACAGACAGTGGGTATTTCCTTCATACCATTAAAAGACAACTATATGTTTGTAATTTCATCCTACTAATTTGGAATGAAACGCCTCATGATTTTCCATTTTTTTGTTTTTTATTTTTTCCTTTTTTGCACCTGTCCTGTGTGTATGTGTTGCGTGTGTGTCTGTGTGTATATGACTGTGTTTCTGTAGCAATTGCTCAGATCTATGGGGTCTAGGCTCAGGACACACGATAGAGCAGTGGGACTCTGCAGGCATGTATGGATACCCTGACCACAGCAGGTGAATATACCTTCACACACTTGAATACAGTGAGTTGCTGTACATCTCCAAATTCCTTTAAAGATTATGCAGTGAAAATGGTAATGTCCACACTTGTTGCGCGAGTGTTCACCCGTCTTTCTAAAATCTACAGTATCAGTCAACTCTGGTCTATGTGGCTTCTCCTGTTTATTTAATTCAGTAAAAGTCCCAGAGAGTTGAGAAATGTAAGGCCATCTCAAAAATTATTAATGGAATTAGTTTTTTTCTGTCTTGATTTGTTTTTGAACTCCTACCAGTTCTTAAGCTGTAGTTCCATGATTAGTCTGAGTACTTACTGATGAGTCTCATAGCTTTAGATTTTGCTTTTAAACATAGCAGCAACCTCAACAGCACTGAGTATTAAGAGTGTTCCTTTGTCCTTTAACACTTTTTGTATTATTATTATTATTATTATGAACTAGGTAAACAGTACCAAACCAGAAAATAAACAAAGGAACGACTATATTCAAGCATCCCTCCTAGTATATATTCTCTATTCAAGAGTTGGACACATTACTGAGCTATTAGCTTTCCTCTCACTATCTTTGCTCAGGTCACTGGATGGGCGTCTTCAAGTGTCCCATCGTAAGGGCCTGCCTCACGTCATATACTGTCGCCTGTGGAGATGGCCTGACCTTCACAGCCACCACGAGCTGAGGGCCATTGAAGCTTGCCAGTTTGCCTTCAACCTGAAGAAGGATGAAGTTTGTGTCAATCCCTACCATTACCAGAGAGTGGAAACGCCAGGTATGGATTTGTGTTTGTATGTGTGTGTGCTTTTCTAGTCTTCTGACTACTCCCAAGCGTTTTAACACCCTGATCACACACTGATGACAGAGACTGCTATGTAAAGTGTTAATCAGTATTATCTAATCCATTCTTGCACATTCACACACTGCTGTCAATGCAGTGGGAGCAATTTGGGGTTGCCCAAGGACACATCAACCTGTGTCTGCAGGAGTTAGGGATTTTACCCCTGAGAGTCTGGTTGAAAGACAACCAATTGTGTGTGTACTTTTTTTTTTTTTTTTTCTTTTTTTTTTTCTTTTTACTGGAAGTAATGAGGTCTGTGATCTTAAAGGTGCCCTGTAATAATTCTAATGGAGAGCAAAGTTTGTAACAAAGATTGTTTGGAGTTTGTTATGACTTTAAATGTTGCTAGTTTGTATTGCAGAGTCTACATGTGTTAAAATGTTGATTTTCATGTGTTGTCTGTATATGTGTACAAGATGCCAGATGTTTTATTTTTTTATAGCAAATGGGCCTTGTCAATGAAGATCAATCTTTTCTTTCCAGTGCTGCCTCCTGTGTTGGTTCCAAGGCACACAGAGATTCTGACAGAGCTTCCACCTCTAGATGATTTTACAAACTCCATCCCTGAAAACACCAACTTCCCCGCTGGCATAGACCCTCCTAATAACTATATACCAGGTTAGTATGTAGTAAGAGCTTGTTTTTATTCTGTTATCAACTTCTTACATTATCTGTCATGCAAGACAAATAGATTTTTTTTTTAATTAGAAAATGAATTAAGGTTTATGTTGCCAACCTGATGTTCATTTGTGCACCTAACCTTTGTTTTCCAATTTGGTCAATTTGTTTTTTGGTCATTGATATTTTACAGAGACTCCCCCGCCTGGCTACATCAGTGAAGATGGAGAAACTAGCGACCAGCAGATGAATCAAAGTATGGAAACAGGTAAGACTAGTTAAGTGTTTTGCTAGTGTATGTGAAAAAAGACACTACATAGAGAAGTAAACAATTTCTGACAGCTTTTAAAAATCATCCTCAATGCTACACTTTCTTTTTGTCTAAGGCTCACCGGCAGAAATGTCACCAAGCAGCTTGTCACCTGTCAGTCACAGCCTGGGTAAGAATACCTTATTTGTAGTTCTCCATCAGTAATTCTTCAAATTTATTTTTAGACAGTATATGCCTCTTAGATTAAAGAAATTTGAAAGTAAGAAATAATTTTTTGTATTGTAATTTGACGGAATTTATAGTATTTTGTAAAGGAATTTGTTAGCAAAAGCCTTCAAATGCAAGCAATAAAACATGGATGGGTAACATGTTAAATGTCTTCTTTTCAGACCTTCAGCCAGTCACCTACAGTGAGCCTGCTTTCTGGTGCTCGATAGCCTACTATGAGCTAAACCAGCGGGTTGGAGAAACATTCCACGCCTCACAGCCATCCCTGACAGTCGATGGATTCACAGACCCCTCCAACTCTGAACGCTTCTGTCTTGGCCTTCTCAGCAATGTTAACAGGAATGCAACCGTTGAAATGACAAGAAGACATATAGGTACACACACTTATAAAATAGTTTAACAAATAGTTAATAAATTAACTAATATTAATTTTTAAGTTTATTTTATTTTAAAGAGAAGGAAACTTGTCAAGATGAAGGACATTCTCTGTATCATGGTAGGTTGGGCTTTCTGAGATTTTAAGCCCATGTGAATTATAGAAGTTTATGCAATCAATCAGTCTTTATTTTTGTATTCCCAATTTAAAATAAATTTTATCTCAAGACACTTTCCCAAAGGAGCTGCTCTAGACCTTTCTATTTGTTTGTACTAACAACAATAACATAAGATAGATTTAAAACTACAATGCAAGTAATCAGGGCAAAACTATGCATAGTAGCAATAAGGGACAACTAAATGTATTTATTTATGTTATTATGAACAGAAACAAAACAATTTTTAACATTTTGAATTCCTTTTCATTATTAATGTAGTCTTCCCTCTTATTTCTCCTCTCTTTCATTAAGGTCGCGGTGTGAGATTGTACTACATCGGAGGGGAGGTGTTCGCAGAGTGCCTAAGTGACAGTGCCATCTTTGTTCAGAGTCCCAACTGCAACCAACGATATGGCTGGCACCCTGCCACTGTCTGCAAGATACCACCAGGTAGATTTACTGATCAAGTGTTACTGGTACTTCTCTTTCTGTTCAGCCAGATGGATTCTACATACTGTAACTGCCAATATTTCTCATTGCAAATTCAGAGGAGGCTTTCGTCAGTGTGGATATTTACTGCCATCACTTTAAGTCAGTATCTGCTCTAACTTTAAAATGGCACTTTAGATCTCATAAGGAACACCTTAATCAGCTTGTATGCAATGGCTTTACTAAGTCACTTATTGTTCCTAATTGGATTGTGAATTGTACTTTTTTTTTATTTTTTTTTTACCTAATATTGTTAAAATTGAAGCTTAAGAAAAATCACCTCCATGACTTTACACATTGTGTTTGTGTCCAATTAAGTGATGTGAGCAGAACTGTGAAGTTCTTGTAGACGCTCAGGGATGAATATAATAGAATGTCTTTATTGTCATTATACAATTGTACAACGAAATGGTTAAGCTTGACCTTAAAGTGCACACACATACACATAATGTCTTTGTTTTAAAGTCGTCTGATTAAAAGAAAAAAAACCCACAATTTTGCATTGTTAGATTTTGTTGCGTTCGCTATGCCTGAATCTACCCTCTCTGATGGTGATGACAAATGCCTCACAAATATTTTTGACCTTCTTTTTTTAAGGCTGTAATCTGAAGATTTTTAATAACCAGGAGTTTGCTGCACTGCTGGCCCAGTCAGTCAATCAGGGGTTTGAGGCAGTCTACCAACTAACCAGGATGTGCACCATCAGAATGAGCTTCGTCAAGGGCTGGGGAGCAGAGTACAGGTAGGTGCTGAAAATGGAACATACTAGGAATGGAGAAGACTAATGTGGGATATTTAAAAAATATTTGGAGCTATGCCCTCACTCTTCAAAAAAAAAATCATTCATAAAATTAGGAGGGAATTTAAAGAGCAAATCTTTATTATTGAATTGTTATCTTTTTTTAATATGAATGAACCATGTGAAAATATACTCAGAAAACAGGCATCATTACATTTCTGGGTTACAACTGTATATGTGATAGAGAGCAGGGACAAGTAAATGTTAAGGCTGTCTTGATACCCTTTGATCCAAGTTATATTGCATCTACAATGAGTTGTCTATAAACAGTCTTTCAAATTAACTAGTTCATGGTTGTTTTTTATCCCATTGAAGAGCTGAAGAAAAGTACAGATAAAACTTTCTCATTATAGATACAATCCTGGAAATAACTGAAGTTGAACATATCAGCATGCCTTATTTCATCCCAAAATTAAGCCTTCCTGCTGTTTAAGCTGAGGAAATATATTTATCGACTCAGTAGTGCATCACTGATCAGGAGACTGAACAATGATGTCTGGATTTTTGACTAAAAGCTTACTTCTTTTACTAAAATCAGCTCCGTAATTTAAGTCAGCGGCACTGATCATCCAACTATTAATTCATGCAGCTCAATAGTTAGAACCAATTTTACAAATTAAAGGTAGCCTTATTTAAAATAGTAAATAAGGCTAATGTATGGGACATTAATTGAGAATGGAATTCTCCTTTGTCTTGTCTCTCACACTTAATTAATAATGACTAATGATGAGGAAGGTGCATTTAAATAGAATATAGTCTTGTGTTGTACATTATATAAACAAAAGGTCTATTTAAGCTAATGCATAGCGCAGTTCAATACTTTAGTCGTGTTTTTAATCACAGGTTGAAGGTTCAAGTTGATGTCTCTGCCACTGAGCCACAGTGGTAGAGTCAGTCATCTCTCAACTGGAGGGTTTGGGGTTCAAACCCCAGCACCTGCATCCACATGTCACTGTGTCCTTGGGCAAGACATGTAACCCCAAATGTCTCCTGCTGCTACCTTGACTGCATGTAAATGTGTGTATGAATGGATTAGTTAATACTGATGGATACTTTACACAACAGCCATCAGTGTGTGAATGGGTTGTGAGTTGGTGAAAAGTGTGACCGGCTGTGTAAAAAGCATTTTGAGTAGTAAGAAGACTAGAAAAGCGCTATACAAGCTGAAGTCTATCTACCATTTAACATATTTATATCTAACTGGCTCAGACGCCCTTTCTATTAACCACTGAGCAAACCTCCATTCTGCCTGTTGCTCTGCTGTGTGGTGTACACTTCCAGAAGCAAGAGAGGGAGTATTTGAGCCAAGGCAGTGTGGTCTAGTGTATTGGATTATTTAATAAAGCCTGAGCAAAGCATGCGCCCATCACTTTTAAATCACTTGAAGTAGACTATCACTACCAACACTTTCAGTACTGCACAATACTATTACACCACTTCTTGTATTGGGCCTCTACTGCATCTACTTGATATAGTATTTGCTTAGTAATCAAATCAAAATGTTATTGCAAGCAAGTAAAACTTAGAATTCAATGAATAACTGTTGTAAGATAAGTATGACTTGTTCTTTTATTTTAAACTAACATTACATTGGAGACTTTCTGTCATTATATATAAATACCACTCAGGTTGTGCCTTACTAACTTTAATCTCAGCTGGATAAAAAAAGTTCTAACTGCTGTATTCTATCTCTACAGACGTCAGACAGTAACCAGCACTCCTTGTTGGATTGAACTGCATCTCAATGGCCCCCTCCAGTGGTTGGATAAAGTGCTGACCCAGATGGGTTCACCGTCAGTGCGCTGCTCCAGTATGTCCTAAACGGGGTTCAGCTGCAGATACCTACGCTGAGTCGAACTGACATTTCACAACATTTGATCAGCATGCCCTTTGGGAGACCACCATGCAATCTTCAACTCACGTACTAAAAACATTATAAATACCAAAACAAATAAAGAAAGGATTCCACAATGGATTTGGAGGATTGGAGAATGACATCATTGATTTACAAAAGGGGGATGGTAATAGTGGTGTCATGGTGGTCCAGATGACCTTGTGCTCTGTTGGACTAATGTTGACATTCCATTAACGATGGATGTAATAATTGATATCACCTTACAATATCAAAAAGACAAGAGTGATGTCATAGTTGACCATATTAGCTATTTGACTCAGGTTGTGCCCAAGAAAGAAACCTGAGCATGATGGAGCTTTGTTTTCCTGTTCATGTCAAGTGAATCGCTATATTGGGGATAGCACATGTGACTTTCTGGTTACATGACAGTTTCTCCAACCACTTCCCAACCCTTTCACTTTAATACTTACCCACCACAGCACAACTTTGATTCTGTTTACACACAGTTCTTCAACAGTAGTACTGCCATTCACCCAAACTCAGCTCTACGCCTGAAAATGATTTCTTTTTGTATTGCTGACCAAACGTCCATTCCAGTTTGATCTAAAATGTCCACTCTTCCTGTTAATTCTTACTAAGTACAGTATTATCATGATCCATGACCCTAATTGGACTGACTGCCTTCAGCTCTTAAAGAGGTGACTACTGGAAGTTCAAGTTGATGTCTCTTATTCTTACATCCTCTCTCCACATGATCACATACACACACGTCTACTGAAACACAGACAACCTTTAAGATTCCTAAAACAATTATTTTAATATTTTAACATCTATGTTTTGACATAACCACAAATAGTTTTCTGTGTTTAAAGTCAATTGGTCACATGTGAAGGGGGGGGGGTGTTATTCAGTGTTCAGTGTGGATCTGATCTATAACAAAGATGTTTTTTCTTCTGTCCAGTTTTATTTAAAAGTGTGGTCAGTGGCTAACCAACAAAGATAGCTAAGGAATTCTCCATCTCTTGGACTTATGCACAATTGCCCCTTAATTGACATTTAACTGATTAGAAGATGAAGATGAAACTCCTGCAGTGTGGGACTTCAAAGGATAGCTTCTACACTTTACTTGCACTGCCCCTAAATTATGCACCCTTAATATTGTAACAAGAAAGTTGCCTTTGATATAAAATACAGCAAGATGTGCTTTGAAATATACAGATAAGGAATGTATGAACGTCAAATTAAAGTCAAGACAATTACACACACACATATATATATATATATATATATATATATGAAATATCCTTTGTAAAAAAAAATTGTTCGTAAATTTTTCTGATTTTGCTTATTTTAGGGTATCGATTTGATATGAATAAGATGTCCTGCCCAGTTTGAAAAGTCAGAGTACCTGCTAAGGTATTTCAAAGTCCAAATATTTTCAACTCAAAGTGTTAAAGCTTTAAGTATTTGATCAGTTATACTGCACAACAATTGTTTTCTTTACATATTCTTTTAGCTAACTTTTTGTATTTTTATATAAGAATATATTTCAAATCGAATGCTCTCTTCCTTTTTATTAGAATTAAATGTTTTTTTTTTTATATTCCCTCTGCTTAAATTGTCACTGCTTGATAAATGTTTATGAAGTTGGGGAGTCACATTTTCACTGAATTAACTGCTGCAAACTGTTAAAGTAATTCAAATCAATCAAGTTGTCTGCTCAATCACTGAGAGGCCATTTCACCATAATTTTACTCTATTTTTAAACTCTTGGCTGCTGAAAGTTTCTTATTTTTTGATTTTTTTCTTTAAATGTTACAGTTTTTAAAAAGGTGATTGCTTGCCTTCCTTTAATTTTTTTTTTAAATCTTGGTTGGTGAGGCCAAAATAATTATGACTGTCCCAAAAACTGACTGCATGTTTTATTGTATATACTGGACAATGCAAATCACTCTTAAACTTCATTACTGATTTCTGATTTTTTTTTCTGAATGGAAATTCATTGGTTTGATTATAATATTAAAAACTTTGGATTTGGTTCTTGGGGTTTGTAAGTCGCAAATTGATAGTTACACATCGAGTTGCCTGTTTGGATAAAAAAAAACACTTTTTTTTCATTATACCATAGTCATAAGTAAAAGGATGCTGTTTAAATCACTAAACTCCAACATTTTTTTAGCTTTTAGGATCTAGATCAGTAGCTGAACAAATAGTTTTACCATTCAGTACCAAACTAGTTGGTAGCAATGGAAATATGTTTTACATCAGTAACAGGACATTCCAGGTTGCAGCGGCTGCCTATTAAAGCTCTACTGATGTTTAATTGTCAAGACTGTATGATTCTGTATGATAGTTCACTTTTCATTTACAGTGGGTGTGTGGCATTTTATTACAATTTTATATTCTAGTTTAGGCTTCTTACTACACTCAGCGTATTCCTCAAATTGAATTTAAATTTTCTGTTTTATTACTCAATACTGGAACATTTCTGGTAAGGTACACAGCATTTTTTTGATACATTTTATTAAATCCAATAGTGGATGAGAAAACCCATCCAGAAATCCTTATTTTTAATTATATATTGTCACTCAGCATCCTGCAAAAAACAAAACAAGGTTGTGTTGTTCAGTCCTCAGACCAAACTGGAAAGTTTCAGATCCATGATGAAGCAAAGAATGAACCTGCACGACATCTGCTGCTGTTGTCACCATTGCAAATGTTCACCATTACCTTTAAGAAAATCAATTTCTTCCTCCAACATTTGCAGGGATCAAATATAAAAGTAATCTTTTGTGACTAGACCAGCAAGCTGCAAAGCTTTTCATCTGTTGGTGTACGTATCTGTCTGTCCTGTCTTATTGATGGTCAGTCTGTTTTCCATTCTTCAATGAATAAAGTTGACAGGACTCTGATGACCCAGTGCACATGCTACAATTAAATTGTGGTGTTTCCCTTATGGCTTGTTGTAACATTGATCACACACACATGCTATGCAGTGATATTGCTTTGTTAAGACTGTATATGAGGAAAATAATCTCAGAAGTATTTTGTGAATTTTCTGATAGCCTGACAAACGGTCTCATGCCCAATGTCCGACAAAGCTTTTGTATTTACTTTTTTTTAATGAATGCCAGCCAACAGACCCTTAAACAACCAGCTAGTCTCACCTTATTCAGTTTGCATTTCCATGTAGGCCTCACCTTACACTTTGAGGGTTCACATTCCTATCTACAGATTAGATCACATTTTATTTTATTGTAATGACTATTGTGTATCTCTAAATAAGCCTCTTTTGATGAATTCCTAGGAGGCTGACTTTGGAGACAGTGAACTTTCAACCTGTCACAAGTGAAGTTATTGTGTAGTTGTACTTTTATTTTACCAAACACTGCTCTTTGTTCCTGCAACCAACAGTGCATATTCCATTAGACAAAAAGCTATTAGGAATTCTGTCTTCTTCAAACACTGATGTGACATAGGCTTTTCAACTATTTCACATAGACATTTCTTACAGTGTACACTAATAAAGCTGTTTAAATTCAACTGAAATTTTGTCTTTTGTTGCACAACTTAATCTGCCTTTTTTTCATCTGTGATTGATAACTAAAGATAAGCCAAAACACCGCTCATGAGTGACCTTTTTATAGTTTCAGTCACATTGGGCAACATTATATGTAATGAAACTATCAGTGTAGAAACTATGTAACTATAATAGCTGCCACCTTTACAGGATGTAGAGGGATTGGAACTCTTAGCTTTTTGTTCTTTGAGCCATGGCATGAGTTTACTGTTCTGGATCCTCTGTTAATGTTCTCAGTATTTTTTTGTCTTGTTGAACAAACCAATGATTTAGGTCAGCACAAGGGTAATAAGTGATTGCAGGTTTATATTTCAAGCATTTTTGCTTTGCGGTTGCTTATCTATTTTTAAGCTTTTTAATTTGGCAGCAGGTGTACTTGTATAGACGTTAGATTAAGTCCAGTCGGTCTGTTAGGCCAGTTGGCACTAACATTCACAGACATAAGGATTATAACTAATTATGTTTTGTTTTGACAAAGGGAATATCTACTGGACTGAAAAACAAAGCTAATGTCAAGGTGTAAAAAAACTGCAGTTATATTTTGCTATAAGTTTAGCTTCATTAAAATGCAGAACTTTACAGCAGAAGTAAAGAATGTATAAAACTTTGACGGGTTCAATTTGTATGTCTTTAAATCGTATTAAGCCTTCATTCATGCATAGTTAAAGGAAGGGTTTAGCATTTGGAGGAATCTTAATACAAATATGGGAAAAAAACATGTCTTGCTTTGCTGTTCAATAGACTTCCAATAAGTCTGTGCTCCAGCTGTTTTGGTAACCGAAATACCTGTAATTCTAGTACAGTTTGAAATCTTTAATTTTTGTATGGGTTATCTAAGCATCAAATGTTCTCTTCTTTTAAAACCTTGTGAAACAATACCTGATGGTTCTCTACAGTTTTCTTTAATTCATTTTGGAGAGATGTTTCCAGACGCTTCTCTGCTTTTAACCGTCAATGAATCTGAGTTTAGGATTCTCAAACAAGTTAAGAATAAAAAAAATACCTTCATAGAAGATTCTTGAAATCCTACTTGGAGAGTTTCTTTCTCCATTTACTGACTTCTGTTCACTACAAGTGGTGACAGCCAAGTAGTGAATGCACTTTTCATTAGAGGGGATTTCTTCAATGTAATACACTTTTGTAGCCTGTAGAGGGAGCTAAGAGCACATTAATAAGAGACCACCTCAGAGGCTATACTGTATTACGAAAGTGAAAAAATTGAATAACTTATGGCAGCATTAATGCTCTTAAATTAAGTTTTCTACATGAATGTAAATTCTAGGATGAATCTGTTGAGATTTAAGAAATGTTTTTTTTTTTTTTTTACATGAATATATGCTGGGACAATTAAGTTACAGAGTCATTAAAAACCCAGGTTGGCCAAGATATATATTTGATCAATTCTAAGATGTTTAATCATATTCGTGTTGTAACAGATAAGTGTGTTTAAAAGATTTTTTTGTACATAAGATTACTAACTATGTTTTCAACCACCTCTGTGTAGACTAACAATATTTGTTCATTTTTAATATAAACAACAATAAAATAATGGTATCAGCAATTAATAAATAACATACATTAAACCTTTATTTCTACCTCTGAATTTATGTATTTTTCTTTGCTCTTTGCTATCAGCTAGGAAAACTTCAAACCCCTCCCTCCTGTGCACGATAAAGCAAGCTGCTTATAAAACAATGGCCAGACAGTTAAACAATAAAATACTTCAAAATGTTTGGGTTGGGTCAGGTTGAAGTAAAAAGTATATCATGGTAAAAAAACAAAACATATCATGTCTGTAGGTGCACAACAAGCACATTAACTTTCTACTTTATGTAAATGTAGGACGTTTAGTAAATTTAACTTTTTTGCTGAAGCTCCCAATTGAATGTTGTGTTGTCCTTTTCATCCTATGGTCATACACCTGAGTTTACATATTTTAGGCACATAAGTTTTGTTTGTATGTCCATGGACAAATAATCAGCACACACTGGATTAACCCATTTACATCTTTGTGTCTGAGTGTCTTTTTTTTCTCCTGCTAGAGTGAGTACTCTTTCTAAGTGATCCGCTTGTGCTCCATTACCAGAGCATCATTAAGCTGTTGTTGTTGATGTTTGCTTTCCTTCCTTATTGTTTGGCCTTGGATCTCATCCGTTCCCCAGAGCCCTATTACAGTACCTAGCAGTAAGCATTTCCCAAACAAATTAATACTGTAACCTGAATGTACCTAAACTTTCTGGAAGTGTAATATAGACTCATAATGGTGGAAGTCAATTTTATTTCTTGTGGTTGCAAAATGGATTTCAGTTCATGTTTATGATACTGGCTGGTTCATAGACGCAAGCATGTTAATTCCTGTGACTGTGGCGTCTGCTTTATGGACAAAACATTGATCGGACATTCTGTGACCATGTTGTCGCTTGTAGTGGCTGCAGATGCAGAATACCTTCCAATAACTAAGAGAGTGCTTCAGGTTGGTAAATCAAATAAGTTGCATAATAATTAAAACAGTGATCTTATACCATTAGCCGTTGGTGTCTAATGGGTTTCACTTCAGAATCAGGATCTGGTTTATTGCCAAGAAGGTTTAAACATACAAGGAATTTGTCTTGGTATTTTGATGCCTGAAAATAAATTGCAGAACACAAACAGTAAAAGAACTCAAATAAAAACAATACAAAATCATTTTAAATATAATATGAACAATAAACTGTATCTGAAAGTGTTTGAACATAAATATGCACAGTACTGTTCAGGGGATGTACAAAGGTTCATAGTATGGAAATAAAGACACACAATACAAATAGAAATAGAAGCATTGGGTTGTCCCATCTAGAGGAAACGTCTTTTTGTTCAACAAGACTGGACAATTTACAGAAGATGCATTCTTAGGACTGCTGGTGTTAACATATTTTATCTAAATTATACACTCAAACAGAACATTTTGCTAACACACACACACACACACACACACACACACACACACACACAAACGGGTTTGCAAACCTGTACGAAAAAATTACTTTTTTTCTCATTTCCCCCACTTACAGCTCAAAACATATTACAAATCAAATTGCACATTTAAAATTATATATAATATAAATACGTTATCTGTGATTATTATTATAGCTGCAGTGATTAGTCAATTTAAAGAACATTTTGCTGCCTGCTTCCTTATCGGATTCTGATTGTTGATAGGACAAGTGGAGCATTTTTCTTTACATTTTCGACACCTGATTAATCAAATAATTACAAAAATAATATCCACATTAATCAATGCTGAAAATCAAAGCTAGTTGAAGTCAATTTTAATGATCTGTGTTAATTGTCTCTCCATCTCTCTACCTATCTTTGTGTTGCTGTGTACAGTGTCTTTGGTAAACATTTTATTTGTTTACCTCAAGGTAGGATTTTTAAAAGCACATTTAACTCTCTTTGCTATCTTTGATACCTAGTGACAGATATGAAGTTCCCGACATGGGACCTCAGGTCTGACCCCAGACTGTCATCTATCATTTACATGACTTTAGTTTCTGACGTTGTTTTTGTGCCGTCTGACGTCCTGGGGTTAGGTTCCTCCCAGTGTTCCTTACATTTCACCTACCTGACCCGTCTATTGTAAACCTTAGACATGATGAGAGTGTGTGCGTGTTTGTTTGTAGTGTACTCTGTTGCTGTGTTTCTTTTTTTTTTAACTGACTTACTTCTTGGCACTACACACCACCATGTTTGTGTGCGTGGTTGTGTGTGTGTGTGTGTGTGTGTGTGTGTGTGTGTGTGTGTGTGTATGTGTGTTTTGGGGCTAAGGACCTGAAGAGGGGTAATCATGTATAAGTTATGTCGACTAATTAAGACTGGGCGCTAACCTATGGCTGACCCCAGGGAAGAATGCAACATCTAAAAGCCTTTGTACCAGTGTACCTGTGGCCTCTTGACCACATTAGAGTGTTGGATGTCCTGAGTGTGTGTGTGTGTGTGTGTGTGTGTGTGTGTGTGTGTGTGTGTGTGTGTGTGTGTGTGTGTGTGTGTGTGTGTGTGTGTGTGTGTGTGTGTGTTCTGGCTGGCTAGTCGTGCAGGCTACCTTGATCTGGTAACTGGAGCACAGGGAGAGAAGAAACGGGAGATCAGAGAGAAAAGGACAGCAACAGAGTGAGGGAGAAAAGAGAAGCATTGAAAGAAAGAAAGTTCCTCTTCAATGAGAGAAGTAAAAGAGAGAGAGAGAGAGAAGCCCAGCCCATGTAATTAGGCCTAAATGAGTTTTCCACTGACTCAGTGGGTTGTGGCAATGCAGTGCCGGTACAAAGATAGACTGGAGGTCAGAAAGTCAGGGAGACAGCGCCTACTGTAGTAACAAAGGGGGCGGAGGTGTTTCAGTATGCACTACAGCAGAATAGTACTGTTGTTATATGAAAGCTTTAATGACTTAGATTTGATGTAAATAAAATATCAGCCAGTATCTTTCCATTTTCACAAATGGAAAGATAGAATTGACATTTTAGGATAAACGGGCCCATAATTCTTAAATCTAGGGCCCTGCACCCTAATGACAGCCACTTATTGTAGCCAATAAATCTTCTTCTTAGAACTATAGGTCTAAATATTATTAATTTAATTTGCTTCTAAAAATAGGCCTGTCTATTTGCCTGAATCAAATGCTTTGTTTTCTGTATTCTAGTATATTGACTGTCCATTTGCTGTGCCTTACTGGGAAATTTTGATAGAACCGAGCAACAGAAATAATTGTTATTTGTGATACCTGTGGAAATGTGCAACCTTGAAAAAAAAATAACGTCATTTAACTATTTAATGATTGCTTGCTACGTATTAGTCAAGGGAGCCTTGAATTTATTTTCAATAATGCAGTGGACTTAAAGAATGCACACCTGTCACACCAAAAACAAGCCACTTGGCAACTTCTTGAAAATTATGCTTTTGAGAGTGATCAAATGTTAAAGGACCACAA